GCAAAGATCTATACAAAAATAAATCTAAAAAAATATATAATTTGATATATACTAAAAAAAGAGATGAATAAAAAATTATATTTTAAATCAAGTAATAGGCATTTTGAATGTAATATCATGCCTTTTGGACTCATAAACGCACTAGTTACTTTTCAATATCTAATGAATGATGTCTTTTGTGAGTTTCTTTATGATTTTTTTGTCTGTTATTTAGACAATATCTTAATCTACTCTAAGAACATAAAAGAGTATGAAGTTCATGTTTGTTGTATATTACAAAAATTTAAAGATGTAAGATTATATGCCAAGTTAAAAAAATATGTATTCCACACTACTCAAGTTGGTTTTCTAGGATACAACATTTCTAATGAAGGAGTAATGATGGGTTCGAAGAAGGTCCAGACTATCATAGATTAGAAGATTCCAAGAATGATAAGAAATGTACAATGTTTTTTGGACTTTGTCAATTACTACTGGATCTTCATTAAGTATTTTTTTCAAGTTGTAGCTTTACTTACATATTTGACTTGTAAAGATAAAATTTGAATAAAGTAAAAAAGCCAAAGCATTGTTTGATGCTTTAAAAAAGAAATTTACTTATGTATCAATTTTATATCTTGTTGACTTCTCCAAGGCATTTTTTATAGAAAGAGATGCATCAAACTTTACTTTGACTGCAATATTATCATAAATGAGAACAAATGACGAATTCCATTCAATAGCTTTCTATTCTAAAAATTAATTAGTAACGAAGATCTATTATGAGATCCACAACAAAGAGCTTGTTGTAATCACGGATTCATTTCAATAATAACATCATTATTTAGAAGGTGTCTTGAGTCTAATTACTATATATAAAAATCATAAGAACGTTAAGTATTTCATGTCAGTATGTATTTTGAATCATCACCAAGTTCATCAAAGTATGTCTTTATGAAGATTTGATTTCAAGTTCGCTTATCAATTCAAGAAATAACAAGATTTATTGGACGTCCTTTTTAAATATTCTTATTTGGTCCAAAAAAAAAAAAAATGTATCTTTTAATCAATAAAAAAAAAATCTCTTGAAGTTGGAGCATTTTCACCTTCGAGTAATAAAATCAACATAAGTTGTTGATTCAATGTTTATCAAGTAAATTCAATCAAATATATCTTTTAATCTTCTTTTTCATGATATCAAAAATAATTCTTTTAAGTCTCATGATACTTCCAAGTTTGAATTTAAAAATAACATATTCTATTTTGAGAAATAATTATATATTCTAGAAGATGGAGCATGATTAAGTATTCTTTAAGCTTATTATGACTTTTTAGTAGCTGGATATTTTGGATACAACAAGACTTTAGAACTAATATTGAGAGATTTTTGGTGGCATCAATGTAGAAGGTAGTAAACGATTTTGTACAATCATGTGATATTTGTTCAAGATCCAAAACTCCTTGCTATTGATCTTATAGACTTTTTCAGCCATTACTTATTGTAGAACAACCATGGTCTTCTGTTTCTATGGATTTTATCACGGATCTTTTAGTCTTAGATTCTTATAATTCTATATTCATGGTAGTAGATCATTTTATCAAAATGGCATATTTTGTACTATATACAAAATCTATTACATATAAAAAAATAGCTAAATTTTTTTTAAAAAATATCTATTGCTATTATGGATTCCTTAAAGATATTATATCAAATAGGAGGACTTAATATATATCAAGATTTTAAAGAATCTTTTTTAAGATATTAAATATAGATATAAAGTTCTTTTTGACTTTTTATTCTCAAATTCATGGACAAACAGAATGAGTGAATTAAGTTTTGGAGCAGTACTTGAGGTGTATTATCAATCATCATCAAGATGATTGGATAACTTTTTTACCATTGGCAAGATTTGCATACAATAATTTGGTACATTCTTCTACTCAACAAATATCTTTCTTTGACAATTATGATTATCATCCATAACTTGATAACTTTGACTTTTTAAAAGTTAATAATCCTATAGAAGAAGATTTGGCAAATCGTTTATTAAAGCTAGATGCAACAATGAAAGCACAGTTAAAGCGAGTTTAAGAACAAAAAAATATTAATGCAGATGCCTATTATAAGAAACCACCACAATTCAACGTGAGTGGCAAGGTATGATTACTTCATTATAATATCAAGATATGATATTAGTGATTATACATGGAAGTGAACAAAGAATCTTGTAAATACAACAAAGAAAGTTGAAGCTTTTTATTGATGACATCCATCAAAATCAAAATAAAGAATAGCAAATCTTTATTATAAAAGAAATAAAATCCAAGAAAGATAGCATTCTATCTTCTACACTCTTTTGTAGCTTCTATGTATTTATAATGCTAAGGAGATTGTGAACCAACAACCAATCGATTTAACTCAAGAAATTTTACTTGTTGACTTATCGGACAATACATTGTGATTGTAATAATCTTTAATACAACAAAATTTAGATGAAGATCCTCAAGAATGATATGTCCTTTGTCAAATAGATGGCAAGATACAACGTATTTGATATCACAACCTTGGAAGAGACTCTTAAAATTTGGTGATTTTATTAGAGGTAGGCACAACTCTTGATGGTATTGCAAATGTTTTATTTGAAAGAAGTTACAAAGGCTTCAACAATGATCAAATAACATGGTGGTCTTCTCATCCTAGTATGGGACACTATTAATGGCTGTAAGAACCTATCAACCATCTTTGAAGAGAATAAAGATCAAAGTATGTAGAAAATATAATTTGTCACATCTTAAATTTCATCTATATATGATGACCGCTCTTCATAGAACTTGTCTTTAGAAGAAGGAGTAATGTCACGGATATACATATATATTATAATAAATACTTGTATGATTAAGTAGAAGTAAGTAAAAATAAATAAAAGTAAATTAATTTCATAATATCTTTTAGAAAAGCTTTCTAGAAGCTTTACAGATGTTGCTTTGACTTTATATGTATTTATAATTGTTTGATAGGTTAGAAACTTGGTCAACAAGTTAATCATGTGTTAATACTTTATAGAATAAGTTAATTATATGGCATACATATAAAAAACTTGTGTTACAAGTTAAGATATGTGTCTTGTAAAGTCAACACATTTTAGAGGTCCTATAGGATATTGCCACGTAGTTCCTAGTTAAGAGTATATATAGAGGCAAGAGTGAAGCCTTCTTTACTCGTATCAAAGGCTTTTTTAATCCTTAGTCTTGTTTCATGACTTTTTAGTTTTCTTGTCTTTGGCAATAGCCATTCTAGTTCAATATTATATCATCTTTGAATAACTTTCTAATTCTTTTTAGTGACACAAGAGTGTATTGAAGATTTCTTTCTTCGAGATTCATGTCCTTAACAATGTCTTTTGCAATAGTTTTAGTAATGCCAAAATAAATTGAGTACATGTTACAATATTGTTAGATATTGGTGACTTAAATTTGTGCCATAATTTCAATCCAAAAGTAGACATCATGGATATAATTAAGCTTTTAAAAAAATTTACTATTTTCTATAATTAAGTAAATTACTATAACTTTTAAATTTATATAATTAGTGCTATAACATTTTTTATACAATATAGCAACTAAAGATATCTCTTGTGGTAAAGAAAGCTTAATACTATTCTCAAGTTTGTAATAAAAATTATGTTTTGTAAATTCTATTATTTTTTCATAATTTCAATATACAAGATTTATAAATTTACAACAATGGGAATTATATTCATTTCATATCCACATCAATTAAGTAAAGGATTTTATCAAAAATTCAAATCATTTACTTTTATATTACATAGAATGACCAATAATAATATCTTTTTATCTTTTCAATTAGAAATACATGATTTCAAAAAAAAATCAACTTGGCTTATTTAAATTTTTTGTTTAGAATTGATGCATATGATTAGAAGTCTTTTTAATTTACAATAAGATTCTATGATAAAGAATATTGTGAACATAGAATGATAATGTTTTAAATAAATCAAGAGGATTCAAACATGGCACTTTTGCAAAACCAAATAACTAAGATTCATCACTTGATACTATTAGGATCACTTGATATTTTTAAGATCACTTGAAATATAAAATCCAAAATATCACTTTTCAAACTTCATTACCTCTTTGGTGTGGAGCCAAAAAGGGAAGAGAATTGAGGCAAGTAATATGGTTTTTGATATTTGACTCGCCCATCTTTTGATATTTTCATTTTAGAATCATCCACTTTGTAAAATGGATGATTTGGTGAAGTATCAAGTAATATTTTGAAATATCTCAAGATACTTTGAACTTGCATCATAGGTGAAATATCACCCAAAAAACCCATGTTTGAAACCTCCTATTAAGAAGATTCAAATTTTAGGTTTTTGGGTGATATTTTACGCATGATGATATCTCAAAGTATCACATGATATTTCAAAATATCACTTGATATATCACAAATCACCCATCTCACGAGATTGGTGATTCTTAAATGAAAATATCAAAAGAGAGGTGGATCAAATATCAAAAACTTCCTCACTTGCATTATTTTTTTTTCCTCTGGCTTAATTGTCTTGACTTTTCTAAATCACCAAGATATCAAGTGATACTCTAGAAACTTGAAGGAGGTAATAAAGTTTGATTGATGATATTTGGAGAGGTGATATTTTGAGTGATTTATGATATTTGGGTTCCCAAAAACAAAAAACATATAATATTTGGTTACCCAAAAACATTAAGTCTGAATCCCCTTATTGAATAGTTATTTTCTACAAAACTAGCATTAAAACAGAGATTCAAAGAAGAATGGAGAGAGTGCAGTGATTCATCTGCACACCTCAGCAGCATCTCCACGTCAGGAACGAGGCGGAATCTGTACTGGAAGAATGTTTGATAGAATCACCGGGCAGCCCGTCGGTCAGAGGGGGGGTTGCCCCCCCCACGGGCATATCGAACCCGAACATGTCCGATCTGGCGGAGGTTGAGACGAGCTGGAAAATGACGTGTATTGCCACGCGAGCAGAGATTAGGGTATGCGGTTCGAAGAAGATGTACATAGTCTCTCCCCTTCAGAAACCCTCTCAGAAGCCCCGACGATCTCAGTGACGCTTCTCTCCTGCGGCTGCATTGCAAGGCGTCTTCGTGAATCATGAGGGCTAAGGTAACTCATGCGAGTCTCTCTTCTTTATTCACCTGCCTGACTATATTGGATTAAGCCTTTGTATAATTTTCTTCAGGTTCTGCGTTTATTTTCCAGCGGGACGCTGCAGTCCTTTCCTTGTGTGATGAGATGGCTTAGTTAGGGTTTGGGCCCAGTTCTGTCATATATGCCTTTTTGTAGGGTCAGTGTGTTTCTGTATTCTTTTTTGGTTTCAGAGGCTTGAGTGCGGTGTCTTTCGAACTTAGGTTAGGGTATTAGTTAGCGCATTTGTATGTGCGCGAAGTTAAGGTATGTTTTTTGGTTCTGTAGTGTTGCTAGTTAAGCAATTTGATACATTGCTGATTCTGTCCTTTCTGTGCAGTGGAAGAAAAAACGCATGAGGCGCTTGAAGCGTAAGCGTCGAAAGATGAGACAACGATCCAAGTAGGTGCTTGGTAGTTAGGTTTCTGCCCAGTAGGGAGGAGATCTATAAATGCTTTTGTACTAGATGTCTCGTTTAGAGAACTCTTCGAAAGTTCGGCCACTTCCTTAATATATTTACGGGATTACTTTTGAGGTCACTTGAGCTTCGGAGTTGCTTCCCGCTTAATCGAGCTGTCAGCTCACGCTTAAGTCAGATTGTACTGTCGTTACTGTAGTCTATTCAGTGGTTCCATCTTCAAGGATTTTGTCATTTCTCGATTTCATCCATTAGTTTCCAGTTTGGTGTTGTGCAAAGTTGCTTACACGATGTTACCAGTTTTTGTTGATATAGCGCATTTTCTATGCGTCTGTATACGTTTCTGGTATTGAGTTTTCTGTTTGCCTAGCTCACTTTTTCTTCTGTTCAAATCTCTATGCATATGCAGGGCATATTTTATATTGTGCAATGAATATTCGAGAGATTATTTTTGCACTTGTAAGTGAGAGTATGAAAATCACGTCAATAAGAAAAACACAATTTGCATCTGATGGATGATTTATTCCTCTTACTCCCCTCGAAAAATAATCAGGTAGATGATCGTAACGTTGGTTGATATAAATTAATCTAGTTAAAATGCATAGTCGACATATCTCATGTATCACAGAGTGGAAATATAGAATCGCATCGTACATAATATCACATTATACTATACGAATTAGACATTTACATATCTCCTGCACATATCTCATGTAGAACATACTGTTTCTACAATCAAGTCCGGATGTTAAAGATTTCATTGTGAAATCTAATAAATCGTTCAGGTGATGGTCTTGCAAAAAGCAGCTTCCGCGAGGTCAATTGCACGAGCAAGCCCAGCAGCCTTGTTTATTGTCTCCAGGTACTCGCTCTCAGCATCACTGTCCGCAACAATTCCAGCACCAGCCTGTGCAGAAGAGCATGTCATCGTAGCAGTGAGCATAGATCATGTGGAGATCAATCGCTTGGTTACTAAACCAAGTTTAGGGTTCGGTAAAACAGAAATGTTCCAAATCCCAAAAAAGAAAGGAAACCTGTAGGTGCACCACCCATTCTCTTCGGCTGTTCGCATCTTTGTAGGAATACATTGCATCGTTTCTCTGCGTTGGGAACACCATAGTACGTAGGGCTAGTGCGATATCCATCTGCCCAGTGAAGGAGACACCGCCAATGCCACCACTGTAAGGGCCTCTTCTCGTTGGCTCTAGCTCGTCAATCAGCTCCATTGCCCTGACCTGTCATCAAGTGCAAAGTCAGCTCAGAAATATTTCCCTGCTCTCTACTTTGATCCAAAAGAACTTGAGGAGTACGCCCACGGGTTCCAGAAACCGCATCGAATGTAAAATTTGTCTGACATGTGAATCAGAATTGTTAGGGTGGGAATTATCAAGAATTTAACTGTCTTTATGTAACCCCAAAAACTAAACCAGTTGGATAGCATCCATGTTGGTAGGGTGTAGGAAGGACAGTTACCTTAGGAGCCCCGCTGACAGTACCGACTGGTAACGCTGCTCGTAGTGCATCCCAGCTAGAAAGCTCGTCCAATAGCTCTCCTGTCACCTGTCCTCTCATAATATGAACCATATCATCCTTCAGTACAATGTGTGTTTCCATGCTGGAGGATTTTGCTGACTTATTAAGATAGAGTAAACCTGATGATCTACGATCCTTTGATGAAAACAATAACAAGAAAGGAAGGTGCACTCAACATGCTCCATGCTTTACTCCATGCGTTAAGACCAATTATGAGATGGAATTTCTCGTGAAGCAAAAGAGAGAGTTAGTGCACAATTTCGGGTGACGAATGAAACGGAATCTGCCAAGGCTCGAGGTGGTAGCTCCGATATCTACCAAGATGATAACCACTAGAACTCACTATTAAAGGAGGCATCCACGAAAAACTTGAATAACAGGTCCATACAGTTTTGTCAAGAGCTGATGATGAATTGAGGTAATAATATCTAAGAGGGACAAGTACCGTGGAGCTGATGTGCATCACGTGTGAATACCGCTCAATCTCCATAAATTTTTCAACCTTCACCGTTCCTGCCTTAGAAACCTGCACGTTCAACACCCAGCACCGCAATTCACCTGTTTCAGTTCAATCCGGCACTTGAGAATTGACATGTTCTAGACCACAACATTTGGGTTAAAATACGTTTTGAATAGCGGACTTGGACTTCCAAAATATGAGTAAATAGTCTCCGTAGTGAGTTAATAGACCATAATAGATTAAAGCGAGATTTGAGAACACTCCCAGTGATGTCATATTGTGTATCTTCGCAACCATTTACGTACTAAGGCTAAGCAAACAAGACAACAAGCTGTATAGACTTGAACTAAATCATCAGAAGAAGCTTCGAGTGATGGACCTTTCCAACATCATTGCGACCTAGATCGACAAGCATGACGTGCTCCGCACATTCTTTCTCATCTCCTAATAAATCCCTTTCCATTGCCATGTCTTCTTCTGGAGTCTTCCCTCGCTTACGCGTTCCTGCTAATGGCCTGTTCACAACAGTTCCCTGTTTTGCAGAATAGTCAGATATAGAAGTTAGCTAAATACATCTTAAGGAAATAAGAACCATAAAACACATTCACGATTCAGAGGAGAAAAGAGAACCACACTCCAGACACAAAATGGCACGACTTTCTAAAAGGCTCTTGAACAGTATTAGGAATAAGTACGGTGAATCACATGTATAAATCACCTTAGAAATGCGGGTAAGTATCTCGGGACTAGAAGCAACCATGATGGCACCCCGTGCCTGCATGATGGAGGTACATTTCAAATTCAGTTGACAATATGAACAGAAGTCAAAAGGAGCAGTATAGGAAAGACGTGACTGAAAGCTTTCAATGCAGAAACAAAACTTAAGACGTTTTAAAAGAAGTGATGTGCAATGGACCATCAGTATGTTTCTCTTGAGTGACTGCAGGAGCTTTAGCCACTTCATCATTCTCTACAGAAAACTTCACGACCCCTTAATTCACGCTACGCTCGTGGATTGCTCAGCTTGGAAGGTGGCACACCTGAAGGTAAATCATATATGGACTAGGATTTACGATGCGCAAAGCCCTGTAAACCTCAAAAGGGTATGCGAATGTTCGTCTTTCAAACCTCTGGCTCAGAACCAATTGGAAAATATCACCAGCCAATATGTGCTCCTTCACTTGCAAGATAGAATCCTTAAATTGCTCGGGAGTAAAATTTGATTTAGTTGCACTTTGGCCATATTTTTCGACGGACATTTCCACAGATGCACTTGGAAGTTCAACCCTTTAAAAAGTACAAAGATGAGAGTGTTAAGACTTCATAAGACCCTGAAAGCACGCAGAAAATGGCTTCTTGATATGATGAAAACCATCTAAGTCAAATATGAAGAACAATTTTCTAAGATAGGTGATTTGGCCTGATTTTTGAAGTTGAAAATGTGAAGCATTCACAGAGTCAAAGCTAGTACCCTTCAGGGGCTTGAAGACGAGCCACTAAATGATCAAGTTTTTTACACCCGTCTTCAAAGGCAGACTCGAGGCTATCGAATTGGTCTACATGCACCCAATGTAAAACGTACAGCAACTGTAACAAAACATTATAGGTCAATCTTCATTGCGTAGCTGTGTATTAAACGCACACATATTCACACACAAGGTACTAAAGAAAGAAGCTTTGTACTTGATTCTTGTGACCAAACACTCAGAAAAACTCAGTTCACCTGCTTGAGCAAGGTAAAGCACAGCACGTGACGTGAAACAAATAAAAGATGGAATATTACCTTCGTCACATGATCGAAAACCAGAACATCGTTGTATAGTCCCAGGTGGATGTCAGGTAGACCTCGGTCATCTTTGGGTGCTGATGAAAAGGCTAGCTTCTTTTTCTCCACATACCTTACTGTGTCATACGAAAAGTAACCAACCCATCCACCTACAATCATGCTCAAAGACATCAACTACATATTTCAGCTCATGCTCAAATATACTGGACTTAAACATAAACTGCTAAGACTCTGCCTATACAAAGAACAGGGTACGCATAAACATAGTCATAGAACTTCTCTGAGATGATTCAATCAGCACATTACATCGAAAACGCATGAGTATGTAATACTTGATACGTTTATCTTGTCTAATGTGTGACTACATGGGCAATTATCAAAATAGGCACTAACAAAAAGTGATCTTATCATTGCGTTAATACATACCACAGAAAATATCCGGAATACTATCAATTTTAACCGGATTCCACTTTGATGCAATTTCTTGAGGCTCGTTTAAGGGATCGTCAGATTGCTTCTCCTCACGGGTACCCTTCTCGTGATTTAATATGATGATACGATCCTCCTTCGCAATGATCTCCAATGAGGGCTGAACTCCGACTATACTGTATCTTCCCTGTCATCGGACCATCATGTTTTCAGGATATAAGGAACAGACGTCCTGTCCATGTATAAACTATGTACCTACGTTACTTCAAAAATTGTATGGTGTCACAATTCTGTTCAAAACCATGTCTGGACACCTCATACAACTTGCTTTGTTAAGAACTGATCGAGCATTATTTTAAGGATACATAGCCGCTTCAAAACGCCGGAAGTACTAAAAAAGAACTTCGTAAATGCGGACGAATGAGGGAAAAGAAAAGAAAAGAAAAACAAAAACAAAAAAATATGAATGTAATTGAATCATACATTTAAATCAACAACAATCTTAGAGAACAAGAGTTCACAAAGTTAACAGGCTTCGAAAGAATCCCAATAAAGATAGTAACTTCAAGGGATTCTTAACAGAGCTATCTCAATTGCATCATGTGACAAAAGAAAAACTCACCATATTGATGCTTTTTCCATTTTCAACTGACTCGAAAAGAAAAGACGGAGCATCTCTGTCGTCCTCTTTAATCAAGCATCGGTATGCTAACACAGGTGTAAGATGATCGGAAAATATGCGCCGATATACCGGCACCACGTTACCTCTTTGTGCAGCCTCCAGAAACTGCGAACGCCCTGAAATAATTCTTAAGGATAAATGTATCATCCACCTTCAGGAAGAGCAACTCGAGAGAAAAAACTGGCACATTTATAGCACTACCCATGCTCTCATCTGACATCAGTCATCAGCTTTTAAACCCTACGTCCTGTATTAAGAACGTCAATTTGTGTCAACATTACCTGGGGTAGTCTCTCGTTCTTCAGAAGGTGGTACATCTACCGCTGTCTGCAAAGCTGTGCAGGAAATGACAGGATTCACCGATGCTCGGGCACAACCGCCAATCTAGGCATAACAACAATGACAGTTCAGAAACCACACTCAAATCTTTCCACCTTGGGCAGTTAAAACTATACACATAGTAAACTGAGAGGTAACTCTAAGGCCTCAAAGTAGACCGAACCAATCTGTCACAAATTTGGATAAACGACAGGGCACACTCAAATGCAGAAAAAGGCGATACGACATTCAACCCTTCTGCTTCCGCATTCCAAGACCTCAATAAATTACATGAGTTGCGTAGGTGTCGACTAACAGAAATGTGCGAAGCACTATTAATCCTATCTATCCAACGCTACCTATTTCTTTTTGCACCTGCTAGCACCAATTCCTACACAAAGGAGATGCCAATGTAGGCCGTCAATCCTGGCTATCACTTTCTGCAGAAAAATTCCACTAAAATGCGAACAAACAGCCTAATAACCAAAGCTTGAAAAAAAGTTCAGAAAAAAAACTATCGCAAAATCATGGAGTGACACCACAGAACTGCGGGGAGGAAAAGAATTTGCACAAAGGAGAGCATTCAGGCTACATTTCCAAATTGCTTCAAATGGCCGCCCTTCCTGCTTTTGAAGAACACGCAATCCTTCGCACGGCTCCACTGGTGCCTTTCTGTCATTACAGCTCCCCTAATCCAACCGCTGGCACAGCGAACAGCATCATGGCCAACAAGGCACTCCATCGTCTCCTCCCTCAGCACTCACGACACGTTGTATACAGAAACACTCAGGCAGACCATGGAGTAGTTGCAATTCGCCACCTCTCTAAAATCCCGGCACCATCTCCCTCGCACTTCAAGTAATGCTATATACCTCAAATCCAAGTGACGGAGAGGCCTCGCCCTCCGAGCTTCACAATCACAAAGAGGACCCACAAACAAAAATTCGATTTCCTCATCGACTGAGGACCGAGGGAAAGAAGCGCACGTGAGATTCTGCATCTTGCGAGCTGACCACTCGCATGTCCTGACTGAGGATGACGGAGAGACTGAAGCTATCCAAAGCTGCCCAAATTAATCGCCATAGAAATTCAGTGAGGTGTAATTCTCATCTGATCATCCTTTTTTTTACTCACGATTATCTCCGTAATTACACACTTTAATTTGCACCACTTAACCTGACTTGCAATTACACTTTTCTTTTTATCATTTTCTGCGAAGCCCATAGTTCATTCTGGAATCAACTGAAAGTTCAAAGGATTACGTAGAGTCACCACACAACAAAGTGAGAAGACGTCCATGATCCATGCGGTGAGGAAGTGTAACGCAGCCTGTTACCGAGGGAAGAAAGTGTTGACCTATACAAAGCCGGACCTAGATATCAATAGGTTCATTGGGTATCTGCGATGGTCAAGGTTTCAACCTGACATGGGGGGAACCAATTGTATTACACATTTCTTGCGAAGTAAAACAAGTTGTGGTTATCTGCTGTGTCCTGTAGTGGTCTTCGTGGTTAACATACTTACTGTGGCTTGACTGTTTTATTGCCTTTTTTTTCGTGATGTAGTGGCAGACTGATAGACTCTGAAATTATCATGGTATCAGAGCGGGTCACATAAGAACCAGGGGTAAACAGTGGGTGCTTCCGAAGAGCATGGGGAACTACAGACTCCATAATCGCACAGTCCAAAATGTTGGCAGGTCCAGGTAATTACAAGGCTTGACATAGCACTATATAGAGTGTTTTAGAAAAAGAGGATCTGTGGGAAGTCGTAGCTCCAATGAAGAACTCATTTCGTAATACACAGACTAGATCTTCAATAGAGAACAATGAGGTTACCTCGGGTTCATCGTCAAGTGAACAAGGAGGCAGCGAAAGGGGAGCTGAGGAGACTTCAGCGACGACGTTTCAGGAGCGGGAGCAAACTCGTAGGCCGAAGACACGGGCAATGGGACTTCTACGACTTTCGCTAACCGAGGTGGTAAAACCCTACATACTCCATACCTTCGATCCTGCACTAGCTTGGGAAATATTAGCAAAGGTATTCTCTACTCAAACAATAGCACATGTGATGAAAATATTAGACAGATGGAATAATTTTGAGCTTGGGAAATATTAGCAAAGGTATTCTCTACTCAAACAATAGCAAATGTGATGAAAATATTGGACAGATGGAATAATTTTAAAATGACAGAAGAAATGCCAGTTTCAGTATTTACACAAAACGTGTTTGACTTGATAAACGACCTGAGGGAAATCAACCAAGTCCCCTTCAGATACTGTGATAGTACACAAAGTACACAAAGTGCTCAAATGTCTATCCATGAAGTATGAGACTTTTGTGAGAATCCTGCGAATCGAGAAGGAAACCCAGTCCCTCACAAGCTTAGCAAGCATGCTTCACATGAAGGAAACGGAGATGGCTCTCAGAACGGAAATTAGTAAAGAGGCTCTTGTTTTCAAGATCAGAAATCTGCTAAGGGGAAGGCAGAAACCTTCTTGCGGAGCGAAATCATCAAATTATTTTCAAACACAAGCTCGTAGAGAACCATCTTCACACCGCTCAAACAACAGAAATGTTGAGGAGCGACGGGAGCACCGATTTGATCAGCAATGTCACCAGTGTGGTAAACCGGGACATATCGCGAGGTTCTATCGAGCCGCAGAACCACAGTCTACTGATCGATACAAGCTCAGAGCTAATCTTTTGAAAAAAACTGCAGGGGAATCTTATCCCACATCACGAGAAGTCTAAGAGGCACTGAACGTACTCTCTGTAGCCTCTTCGCACAATAGAGAATGGGTAATCGAAAGTGGAGCGTCTAGATATTTTACCGGGGAACAAGAATTCTTCCTTAGCATCAAGGACCCATCTCATCGGCAGTTCGTAGCAACGGCAAATGGTTGGATGCATACCGTAAAAGGACAGGGAGATGTACAATTTTCCGGTACAATGTTCCAATACAACAAATGAAATAAATCTCAAGGGTGTTTTGTATGTACTGAGCCTAAGGCAGAACTTGCTCTCTGTGGGACAATTTGTACGAAATAATAAGCAAACTGTGATATTCGGAAAAGAGAAATGAATTGCTATTTCTGATTCTTATCCAAAATAGTTCACTGAGATCGGGCACTGGGACAGCAAGTCTCGGCTATACAAGCTCGTACTTGACAGCCACGACAGCCACAGATCAAAATCTGATTCGAACTATTATCAGAATATTAACAAAACCGACCATGCGGCCCATACTCCGACACTATCAGAGACAAGTAAAGGAGCACTTAATATCTTGTCAACCGACGGCGAGCTGGAATTGTCAGATTTTGAAAAGCCCAAGACATCTCTCGGCGAGACTAACATTATCACAGAGAAACAGATTTATGAGCCGTTTATATTAACACAGAGTGGAAATGAGCAGTCACTTCTTCGGTGGCACTGCTCCGTAGGTCATGCATGTTTTCACACTCTGTCTTTAATAAATTCTGAAGGCTTACCGAAATTTAAGACAGAGGGAATACAATGCCAGCAATGCCTTCAGGGAAGACAGACAAGAAATTCAATATCTAAAGAAAGCACTACCAGATCAAGCAAAAGATTGGACTTAACTCATATAAATTTATGTGGTCCCTTATCAGTGGCCTCACTATCAGGTACAAGGTATTTTATTCTTCTAGTTGATGACTAGTTGATGAGTTTGTGGATTTATTTTCTCAAACACAAAAAAAAACAAACTCTTGGTAAATTCAAAAAGTTCAAAACTATGATTGAGAAACAAACAGGGAATTTTATCAAGTGAATACGAATAGATAAAGGATGGGAAATCACAACAAAAACCTTCTCAAAATTTTGTATTAACAATGGCATCATTTGACAATTCATGCAACCTTATACTCCTCAACAAAATAGAATAGTAGAAAGAAGAAATAGATTTTTTCTAGAGAAGACACTGTGCATGTTGCTATCAGAGAAACTACTTGCATTCTTATGGCCAGAAGTGGCAAAAACCACAATATATTTATTAAATAAATTATCAATATGAATAATGATTCCAACAAATCACTAGAAGAATAATTTTTAGGTGCTAAAAGTCAACTCAACTACTTAAAAGTGTGTGGATGTTTATCATATAAGTGCATACAATAACATTCAAGAAATAAATTACAATACGATCAATCATTGGCAACTTTGTAGAATATGATGAACAAACAAAAAGATATTGTATCTATCTACATCAATTAAATAAAATCATTATATCAAGCAATGTCATTTTTGAAGAGATAAAGTTCAAAGATTATGGTACATTATCAAAGAATGATGAAATGATGAGCAAAAATTATGTAGAAAATTCTACAATTGAGAAATACAACAATTGAATTGACAATAATCAAGATCACATAAAAGAAGAAACATGAAATCAAAGGGTCTTTCAAGGTAATAACTCTCCTGATATGAAAACATCTTTGACACTATGAGCAAGTATAGAAAATATTGATATTATATCATCATTTAGAGCTTCAAACATCAATCTAGTTTTTAATTATAACTTGGAGATAGAAATAGATGAATGGCACATAAATGAAACTCATAATGTTGTTTCTTCTACAAAGCGAGAAGATTCCCTAAGTTCTTCAAATTCTAAATATAAGCCAACATGGCCTTTATCAACCATTACAAAAATTGGACAACAAACAAGAACTCTAACATAGATGAGTGAACATAAGTCCATTAAAAAGTAATACATCACCAAGGTTAAAAAGAAGCTATGGTTGATGAAATGGAATTTATTTACAAAATTAACATATGGCTTCTTATAAGTCTTCTTTTAGATAAATTTATAATCTCTACAAAATAGATTTATAAGGCAAAATTAAATGTAGATGGATTATTATAGAAACATAAAGTTAGTCTTGTAACAAGAGGCTTTGAAAAAAATGAACAAATTGACTAAAAGAAAAATTTTGTGCTCATTGTCAAATAGACAATATTTAGAATCATGATATGTCTAACAACTCAAAAAAATTAGAAATTATGTCATATGGATATTAAAATTTCTTTTCTATATGAAAATTTAAAGAAAGAAGTATATGTCATCCAACCTAAGGATTTTTAATACAAAAAAAAAAAAAAAAAAAAAAAAAACTTGGTATACAAATTACAAAAGGCATTTTATGGATTATAACAAGTATCTAAAGCTTGGTAAAAAAAAATTGACTTCTATCTAACAGGAGTTGGATTTCAATAACAAAATGGTAATCATAACTTATATTTAAGAAAATCACAAAATCACATCATTTTTATTGCAATATATGAAGACAAGCTTTTAGTATTATGAAGTTGTATAATTAAATTCAAAAATTCACTATATAAAAAATTTGAAATGTCAAACTATCTGAAGGAGCAGTAACACTATATCTAAAAGCATAATGTATACACATATTATGGACATATACATTTATTTCAATAATTACTTATATGATTAGATAGAAGTAGGTAAATATAGATTAATTTTATAAAGTCTTTTAGTAAAGCTTTCTAGAAGCTACATAAATACAGTTTTGACTTTAGATGTGTTTGTAGGTTAGAAACTTCGCCAATAAGTTAACCACATGTTGGTAATTTGTGGAACAAGTTAACTCTGCATAGTAGTTTGTGGAACAAGTTAACCATGTGGCACATACATAGATAACTTGTCTTACAAGTTAACATATGTGGCTACCAAAATCAATATGTTTTAGAGGTCCTACAAAACATCGCCATGTAGCGACCAAAGTCAACATATTTTGGAGGTCCTATAAGACATTGCCATATAGCTCCTAGTTAAGAGTATATATGGAGGCAAGAGTGAAGCCTTCTTCACTCTTTCAATGTTGTTCTAGTCTTTAATCTTATTTCAAGACTTTCTAGTCTTCTTATTTTTGGCAATAGCCATTCTACTTAATATTACATTACCTTTTGAGTGACTTTCTAATTCTCTTCAGTGACACAAGAGTGTATCGAGGATTCTCTTTTTTTGA